AAAAAAAAAAAAAAAACACTGGGCACGACAAGATTTTCTTACCCAGCAGGCATTTCGAAAATTTCGCACAAATACTGGAGGTGTGTCTCCCCTTTTTTTTTTTTTTTTTCCTTTTTTCTTTTTCCTCCCTCAACTCTCTGATCTCACACAGAAACACAAACAGCTGAGCGACCCGTTTCTTTTGAGCGTCAAAATACACAATTAATCGAGTTCAAACGAGGCTAATGGAAGATAACACGATGTTCAGAGCTGCGGATAGGGTGCAGGGAGGCTGCGATCAGTCGTGCACATCATCAGATGTCGCTGATTATCCATTATTACGCCGAGCTCTGAGAATTAGATCATTTTCTTGGTGGCAGGATTTTTTTTTTTTTTTTTTTGGAAATGGGCGTGATCTTGCCTCCTTCATCCAAAAATGATGCTGCACACAACCGCCACTTCTCTCTCTCCTGTGCCTGCTTTAGTGGAAGTGCATGGATGATATATAAAAATAAATAAATGTGGAGTATGAGAAGCCCTGCCTTCGTGCAGCTGCTGCGCCTCCGGGCTGCCTGCTGCTTTGCGCCCTTGACATCGCCGCGGCGAGCTGCCTCCGCTGCTCCTCGCTCAGCTCGCTCAGGTCGACCGGAGTCCCGTCGGGGACCCGGACGAAGCCGCCCTTCCCGTCAGGTGCCAGCCCCTCCGGTAGCCCAGACGGCGGCCCTTCGCCTCCTTCCAGGCTCGCTTCGTTCCCCATGATCGACCCCTCCCGTCCTCCTCCTCCTCCTCCTTCTTCTCCTCCTCACCCCCCTCCACCACCTCCTCCCGTAATTCGGATTCTTCTTCTCGCTCCTTTTTTTTTTTTTTTTTTTCCTCCTCTTTTATCTCCAAAGAGCGCAGCGAAGACGTCGTCCCTCGGTGTGTGGAAACATCTCAGCTGATGTTGTTGTCTTTTCTTCTAGATGTATTTATATTTCTCTGGTTCCCTTCCTCCTCCGTGTCTCCTCGTCTTTCTCCGCGTTTCTCGTTGTTTTTCTGTGTCTCGCATCTCTGCAGCCGAACACCACAGTTACCACAGTTTTCCGTGAAGGGGGGTCTCCGTCTTTTTTTTTTTTTTACTACCGCGCGCACACGCAAAAACAAGTTCCTTTATGATTTTTTCACAATAAAATCCCTCCATCGGGTATTTACACTGTCGAGTAAATTCTGTTATTTACACATAACATTTAAAACCCTCCTATCACCTTTGGGGTAAATTTGACTCCATTCAATGTTAAACATCTCAACAAAAAAAAATCATTGACATATTGTTTTCAGTTTTATTTAAGGTGCTATTCACACATAAACTTGGGTAACAATTTTAATTATGCTATTTTCTGGAGGTTTTAATTGCTGAGGTCAAATTGAACACAAGGATAAAAGATGTCAGTAAATCTGAAGGTAATAGGAGGGTTAAAACAACAGCCCTGTCACTGAGAATAAGACTGGTTTTGCCAATTTCCTTTATGTATAGAGTTTAAGATGCTGTCATTTATGCCTCCTTCATTTAAATATTGTTACAAAACCCTACAAAAGATGATATAAAACAATACTTAACTACACATTATTGCTTTTTGCTTTATAAGCACTGCAACTATAGCTTTTTTGATTTTCTTTTTTTAAATTTCTATTTATCTATTTGTGTATTTATTTGCTTTTTTTTTTCCGTTTACTTTTTAGGCACTGTGTTTCTTACATCATTCTTTTTTTTCTGAGCAATATCTGGCACAAGAATTTCCTTGAGGATTAATCTTATCTGATCTATAATAAATGATAACACTAAGAACCTACACCAGTATTATTTATGGAGATTAGAAATGAAGTTATGTCCCAACAAAAATACACACTAAAGCCCAGCAAATCCAGTGATAAGCTGGATTCTTTGTGTATTTTTTTTGTGTATTATTATTATTGTAACATAGGAGGATTTTACTTTATTTCAACCCAACATAAGCGGCTTAATGTTGCATTTAGATTAGAAACCTTAAAAATCCCTAACATGCATCATTCAGACAAACTTTTTTCTTTTTCTTTTCTTTCTAATGATGCATTCTTACTCTGGAAGCAGCAAAGGTGTATAAGTCAAAGTGGTTTTGGAGGAGGACACCCCAGCACATTTATTTTAGTTATGCTTTTATATTGAAAGTTAAAACTCTACGCCTTCCTCTCTTGGTCCATGTAACTGTGTTCGTCTTGACGCACATCCTCCAGCAGCCTCTCTCCTCTCCTCTGCTGCTCAACGCGCATGTTCCGCCTCTGACAGGTGATCCGAAGACATCAGCAGAGGAAAATATGTTTTTAAAGGGGACCAACTCCACTAAACGTGTCTGGTTTGATCGTCCAAACAGTCCAGTCTGAGAGGAACAAGGAGGGCAGGAGGGGTCACTGATCCTCTACTTTTTTACTATATTTCTGCTGGTGAAGTAGGTTAAACCAGAGGAGACGGTTGTAAATAATGTTTGTGGGTCAAGTATCTGGGGCTCCTTCATATATACTGTATGATCACACATCCTCTAACAAAGTCTCTGGATAAGAAAGATGCTTTTCAAGCTTTATGCTAAATAAGTAATGTGTCTTTACCCACCCAGAAACCGCCATTCAGGTCACACAGCCACAAAACATCAGAGCAGTGCCACTCTAAAAATTCATACACCTAATTTTGAAGGAAGCTGGTGCCATGAAATATTCAAAAACATACATCTGCGCAGGTTTACACACAACCAATAGTATAAGTAATGTCTCAAATGCTTTGTTTTGTCCCCCCAGATACCTCATTTCATACCTTTATTTTCTCAGATATGTTAATGTGCAGCTGAAGGCTGGTGGAAGCATGTGGGGGGAAATCAGGTTTCACCGACTGCAGCCAGATAAGTCGCAATGAATTCTTTATCTCCTCTCCTCTTCTGAAGATTTGATTGCTGCTGTTATCATGGAGAACACAGCATGGGATCAAATGAGTGTAATATAAAAGCAAACGTAATGAAAACAGGCTGCAACACGTTGGTAAACTAAGCGACGCCACGCACGTCAGCGTGAACCTGTAGACAAAACTGCGTTACTTCAGCCCACAAATGACTGCAAATCAAACCCATTTAGACCCACTTTCCGGGAGAATATGCACAAGCGGTCACCAGATCCAGCAAGTAGCGTATTAAAACACGTCGGCTCTGCTGTGCGTCAAGGAGATGTGCTGCGATATGACAGCAAATGCTCATTTGCTCTGTTGTGTGCGGAGCTCTGGGGCAGATTTGTCCTCGGTGCACCCGACTCAGAGCCCTGAGTACCTGCACAGGGGTGGAGGGGAAACCGGGCGACTAGCTTCTGTATCAAGGGAAATAAAGACAGAGGACATTGCTTCTGCGTTTGCATCCAAATAACACTACAGACGATGCCGCAGATCATCATTTAAAACCAGATCTTAGATGTAATGGCAGCCACTGTGCATGTGGTGTTCTGTCCTCTGCATATATTGTTGGGAGCTGTAAGCCCACAGAAGAAGTATTATCCTTTGAGTTCAGCTCAGATATGACAGAAATCTCCAAATCATAGGGGGAACTCACCAAAAGTAAGGGTTTATGTGTTTGTCTGAAGGGGTAGTTTGACATTTCATAGAAATGCGCTTATTTGTTTTCTCTTCCAGACGGTCAGTATCACTCTCACGTCCGCCTGAAGCCAGATGATGCTTAGCGTAGCATGAAGACGAGAAATAGGGGTAAACAGCTAGTGTGGCTCATCCCAAAAGTAAGAAAATCCACCTCGAAAGCTCACTAGTTATGATCATCTTTAATCCCGTTCAATAAATAAGGGTGAAAAGGTTAACTATGGGTTTATAAGGGGCTACATTCTGGATTTCTTCAAGGGCTCAAGGAAATCATGCTACCATGCTAACCAATGATGCTCCTATATTCTCTTTTTAGCAAATTATTTAAAGTTGCACCTGAATTTTCAGCTCAAAATACTGCTGAGATGAAAGGTTCATTTCACTGTGACCACATCAACCCTGGTTTTAGCCCTGATCAAAGTAGACTTTTTCAGTGTCTGTAGCTTTAAATGCTGCTGAACCGCTGCTGTCCATGCCCCCTTCAGGAAGAAGACTCTCTCTGAAAATGGCTCTGGAGTGAGTGGCTGTTAACATGTAGTCTTAATGGGTTGTGTTTCAGTCACTATATCATATTTGTTCAGTGGTCTAACATCAGAAAGAAAAATATGTAAATATAAAGAGATTTATTGGGAATTCTGCTGCAGTATATGTGAGCACAGGGAGCAGGAGAGAAGAGTTTATGTTGCACTGCTGGGAGTGCATGAACACTTTTGTGTTCACTCTTGCAGCCAACAGAAGAATATTTGGTGTGTTTTGCTCGTGGCTGAGGCAGCTAAACGCTAGCAGAAGCAGTTTTAGAAAGCAAATAAACGTGTTGGGCTGTGAGGCAGCTGCTAATTCTGAATAGCTCAGCTAGTAGCAAAAGGCAGTGAGGGGGCAGGATTGTACAATGTTTATTGTTTTAGCTGCACAACTATTGGTTGCCCAGAAACTGAATAAAATGCTTACTTACAGCTGGGAGGCCAGCTAGTTACAATTAGCTTAGCATAGCTCAAAGACACAAAAAAGTAGTTTAGTGCATGACGAGCATGAAAAGTCTTTTTTTTTCTCAGAATAAACTAATAAAATATATGTTAAACAGTGAGCCTGAGAGCAGGAAGAACTTTTTTAGACCAAGCCCAATTAGCTTTATGCTCCAGTGTCCTGGCTGTCGCATCAAATTGATGTCAGTTATATCTTCACAAGATATCAAACATGTCTCAAAATATCACACTATTGTTTTTAATACAAGGCTGGGAGGTAGCTGGTCTTATGTGAATATGCTGGTGGCCAGATTCAAGGTTCAAATTGCAGCTTCTCTTAGTTTCCTTTCAGGCTTTGCTTTTCTTTTTTCTTTTTTGCCGGCCTTCGGTCCTTCTTCCCGCACATTTGTTCATCCCTGCCTCCCTCGTCTCCTTCGCTATGCATAGATATGCCATATTTTTAATATTAGCCTCCCTCTCTCTGCTCTCTCCCTCCTCCTCACCTCGGTGCATGTGTGGGCCGAGGTGAGTTTCGGTGTCTGTCTTCAGTGATAAACGATGGTAGTGTAGCGATTGCTCTGTTCCTCCCCTTCTTCCCACTGACTGCTGAAGCATGGCCTGATTGTCTCTACGCTTTGAGGCGGAAGCAGCCCATACATGCATGCTCGCTCGACCCCCTCTCTCTCTCCTTCTCTGTGCATATCTCACCCACATATTACACACTCTGACTGAAGTATTCAGTCATGCAAAGCAAACACAGTCACCCAGAAACGCAGACGGACGGGCAGACAGTCGCGCAAACAAACACACACAGGTGTAAAGGCACAACATCAAACACAGGCCTGGGGACAAGCACTCTCTGAGGCATGTGCAAACCCAGCGATTTATACAGATGCACACACACACACACACACACACACACACACACACACACACACACACCTGCATACAGTGTAGACACAGTACACTCATTAGCACAGTGCTGTCAGGGCCCTTCAGGTACACGTCTGTTAGAAAACCCTGAACAAAATATAGAAATTTGATCTGCTACAGAAAACTACACAAATAAGCAGTCAGATCTTATTTAAGATAATGTATCAACTATTAAAATCCTGCATTAAAAGTTCTTGGACAGCTACTTAAATGAGACATCTG